GGCGCGACACACAAACACACATACGACAAAATTCTAAAAATATATGTGTAGCGCTAAAACCATACTCCAAACCCTGAAAAACCATAACCCAATTCTAATCTTGTAAAAATAATGTTTGTTGTAAACCGCTTTATCAGCCTGCAGAAGACCTCTGTCGCAACACTTGCGACTTGAACAATGACGTCACAAGGAGGCGATAAAACCATGACTTAATACACTATGACAATCCTCTTAAGCCCCGAACCTTCGTTGAAAAACAGCGTGAAAGCACGATAGGGTTACCCAGTGCTTGGAACAAACGCTATGACGACCGTGTGAGCAATCAATCCTTTCGAGGGATTCCTAGATAAGGACAAGTAAAGGTGTTGCAATGAAAGAGCTTTGGTGTACTTACCCCCATCCCCAATAAGGTGCATCTGTATGAGAGTAGGGTCCTCATTGTGCTCTTCCAGTACAGTGTCGTCCGTGAGTGTGAGGTTCTGGGGGAGATAAAAACGCACCACATTAGACATGTATGGCCATGAGAGAAATATCAACTGACAACAGTACATACAAGCATATCATTTGAAATTGCCACGACACAAGCAAACAATAAATAGACACACACTGCACACTCCCACATTGTGTATTAGCGAGGAAAATATGACAACACATGGAAGACGCCCAAAATAGTTTGAAGTAATGCAGCAGTATAAAGAAAAAGTATTGACCAACCAGCAGCGCCCTTATAGTACCAAGTGGCAAAACATACTTGAAAATAACTTCATACAAAAACCTATAATATTACATATTTAACGACAAAGCTGAAAAGATGTTTGCTTGGCTTCCTGCCCTTGTCCCACACCCACGGTTAGACTACCGTCGTCCACGTAGAGCACAGGGGCTTGGAGAGACGTCACGGAATCCACAAACAGCTATGTCAAGTCCCAGTTTTGATGTAATATGAAAGCATCATCAACCTGCCAGTTCATCTCCCCTCCATCTACTCTTCTTCAACTCCAGCAAAACAGGCAGGCTATATCGGGCAGGTTTTGTTGTGTTGGCCAGCACAACAGTCTGCCCACCGGGCAAAAGGGGAGGGGGAGGAAGGGTGTGTACATCATTATGTTGACAGCCTACACCGCTCGTTAGACGAGACGCTTGACGCAATGTGCGGACACAAGGGAGATAGGTCGAGTGGGGAAGTGCTTAACACACCAGGTCATGTGTAAGCTTGCTAGGCTAACTGTCCGCTCAAAGAACACACTTAACACTAACACTGACAGTAAAATAATATGAAGGGATACTGTTGCGACCCGAAAGAGTGCGAATGCGAGGTTAAGGGGGGGGGA